AATAAATAAATATAACTGAAAGTCCTCTCAACTGGTGCAGTGTCAGTCAAAAAGAATTTACAATTTTGCCAATTTTCAAGTTTTTCAAGTTTTGTCGCCTCGAGCGCATAGTTATATAGAGGCGCAGCTTTGATTTACGACCCCTCGAAAGGTTTTTTAATATATTCCAACGGTTTTTATCCTCCATTCCCGCCCATCCGCACGAGGGGCGCAGTCCGCATGACGTACGGAACCAGTATTTTCCAGGGACAAAAAATAACTGTTATCTCGAATTTGGAAATTGAAAACGTTGCCCGAATTCTGAAATTTAACGAAAACGTTGTTTCATAACAGTTATTAAAGGAGAAATATTTTTTCCGTTGCCGATAAGAGTTATTTCGTAGCGTTTACTTTTCAAGTTGCTTGATAACTGTTATTGCCCGACGTTTATTTTTTACGTTGCTTGATAACAGCTACTGCCCGATGTTTATTTTTACGTTATCGGATAAGAGTTATTTCACTCTCTCACTTTTATTTCATCATCTTTTATTTCTCCATCTCCATCTTCATCAATATCCTAATCTGTCCCTGGTATTTTCAATTTTTCCGCCGAGTCAAGATAGGCAGGAGTTTGTTAAGTGTCGAGATCTAAAAGTGTTCAGCTACAGAACTAAATTCATCAGCCGATTTTGTCTTTATTTTAATGATTCATTTATTGGGAGAGGACAGTATCGATTTCTTAATGCTGAAAAGCGGATCTGATATATCAAACGTGCTGGAATGAGAGTTAAAATCCTGGCATAAGCAACGGAGTGGGTCGTGCAATTCAAAATTATTAAGTATAATGTTCCAATTTTTTAATTCAAGTACTAAAAAAAATTCAGTCTTATCATGACTTTAATTTTCCCCAAACCGGTTCACTTTTCACTTTTGGTTTTCATGTACATATTTACTATGGGCGGAATACAAATTTTCGGCAGAATTTTTTTCGGGCAAAACTCAGGATAAGGCAGATTATTAAAAATTATTAACGCTTCCTTTTTTTATTTACTTAAATAAATCACCCTATTTACCCATACAAATTATTTCTTGAAAATACATGACATCCGCATTCGCATTCGCATCCGCGGATGTTAGCTTTTAAACATCCGCATCCGCATTAGCATCCGCGGATGTCTAAAATTCCACATTCGCAACATCCCTGGTATGTATATATGAATATATTTTAGCAGCGCCACATCTTTATCAGGAATTTCTGAGAATCCAAAAAGAGTTATCGTTACAAGGTGCACCTCCTTCCTCTCTCACGGATAACGGTACATCGTATCGAGGTATAAAAATATTTTACGTCCGCAAACTGCATTACATCGCATTACGTACTCTCCTCGGGACAACAAAAAACTTTATTTTCGAAACTTTGCACAAGTGTACCGAATTCTTGGAAACGCCAAGACTTTTCTTTTAATATTTTCATCCAACTTCACTAACTTCAAACTGGTTTTTTTTTTTACTTTTTCAAGAAACAAAAATTATTGTGCTAGTGAATCTGGTAGTATGATTTAAGTTAAATGTCATAAACTTGTTAAAAGTCAAGTGATCGGCAACAACAACGAATGTCAATAAATGAAACTACCTTCAATTATAAGTTTCGTTCCTTATCTCCCAGAAATAGTCAGAAAAAGTCCGAAGTAGTCAGATTTAATCCAAAAAGCGTTCCTTAACTCGAAAATAACAGCAAAAATGAGAGAGCAACACTCAGTGAGAGTGACTCTCTTCAGTCCGAGGAAGTCAGATTTAGTCAGAAGAATTTTTGCTGGCAAAATCTTGAAAAGTGTCAAACTCAACTGAATTTAAATTAACGGAAATTAAAGAATACGCAAAAAGTGAGAATAATCTAAAAAGTAAAAAAGGGCAATTGAAATTTGAAGGAGGCAAAAAATAATTGACATAGTGTTTATTGTGCTTGTGCTTGTGAGAATGTGTTTTGTGCATACCCTGAAGGAAAGATTGGTCCAATCGCTCGAAAAATATAGTCGTAGGTATAGTACCTTTGTATCTAGACCAAAGATAGTCCAAAAATATAAAGCGATGTAATGTAAAACAGGTGAATTGTACTAAAAGTGGTCCGAATGTAATGCATAAGGTATGAGTTATGAACTAAAACTGGTTACAATGTCATACAATAGCGGACAACGGGTACAATTAGCGACTTACTGATATATAGGCACTTAGTCAACAAATTTTCATGTTGGCATGCGGAGACAGTATCCGCTAAGAAAATCTGAGAACCCCGGTTCGAATCGCAGCTGGCGCACGTTTTATTTTTTTCCCCCCAAAATTGGTTACAATGTAATGCAGAAGCGGACAATTGGTCCGAGCCTAGGACATTCAATGTTAAATGTAAATAGAAATTTACATGTTGTTGGACCAAACTTTGCACTAGTTACAATCACTTTCAGTCTAGTTTGTGGTGTGCTCTAAGTCTATTCCGAGATGCTACAGGGTACATTTCCATTCTTATGTGATGTTAGTTTTGTTGTTGCCATTCTTTGGACTAAAAATTTGGTTTTTTGCGTTTCTTTACTTTCCTGTTATTCTCTTTTAGTGAGCGCATTTTGCTTACGCTCTGGATAAGGAATGAACCTTTGGTATCATGCATAAAACTAAGTACTACAACTATCAATATGAAAGACAACAAAAAAGACAAATTTTTTCACAATGTATATTCACACGCATCGCATATAAACATGCATATACGCGTTCGCGACACACTTATAAAAATTAATTTCTAGTTTTTTGTTTGTGTTGTTATTATGACTACAATAGTTACATTAGCGGTCATATCTATAGCACGCCGTTTCGAAGTGATATTGTGTGCAACTTATGTTTATTTGTTTGTTTTTGAGAATTTTCAATTAAAATACAGTTCTTTCTCTAACAAACCCCATATAAACCCAAGTTTAACAATTTGTAGAAAACTTCAAAAAAGTGCAACAAATTTTCACCTAAGTTTCAAACTTTTTTCTCGGAAGTGTTAGAATTTTTTTGAGTACACAGTTTTTTAGCCCCTGCAATTTTAGTCTGATAATGTGCAAGTTTCAAGTGACTGAAAGTTACCGTTGATTTTTTAGAATTTTTTTCGCCAAAGGTGTTGCGGTTTTCATCCATATACAAATAAATTGAGTTTATTCATTATATGGAAGCCAATGCGACAAAAAAAATTCTAAAAAATTAACGGTAATTCGTAGCTACTTGAAATTTGCACATTATCAGACTAAAATTGCAGGGGCTAAAAAACTGTGTACTCAAAAAAATTCTAACACTTCCGAGAAAAAAGTTTGAAACTTGGGTGAAAATTTGTTGCACTTTTTTGAAGTTTTCTACAAATTGTTAAACTTGTGTTTATATGGGGTTTGTTAGAGAAAGAACTGTATTTTAATTGAAAATTCTTAAAAATAAATAAATAAACATAAGTTGCACACAATATCACTTTGAAATGGCGTGCTATAGATATGACCGATACTGTACATACATAGAGCTAAAGACCGCAAAAATTGAATACATACATATATTTACATAGAATGCAAAGTATAAAAAGTTTCTGAACTTAATTTCCCTGAACTTAAATTGTAACTTTCTGAATTTGAAATGGAAATTTTCTGAATATGAATTGTAACTTCCTGAATTTGAAATGAAAGTTTCTGAATTTGAAATGGAAATTCTGGATTTGAAATGTAACTTTCTACAATGCTCAATAAAAATATTAAAAATAAAATGTTAACAAGCCACAATAACATTGACAAATACGTAACTTTCTGAATTTGAATTGCAACTTTCTGAATGGAAATTCTGAATTTGAATTAGAAGTTTCTGAATTTAAATGGCAATTCTAAATTTGAATTGTAGCTTTCTGAATTTAAATTGTAACTTTCTGAACTACAACTGAAAAAGGTGTAGAACTCAATAGGTTTCAAAACTGAATACATAAAATCTATCCCAGGAATCTAATTTAAAAGCTCGAAATTTTTCACGAAAGCTTGTTGATTTTTTTTCATATTGTTACGATGGATTCCGTGATAGCCTGGATATCTAAAACTTGTCAATATGTGGTGCGGCTATAATTCGAACTGTATGTGGTGTAGGCGAGACTAACTCACTGTGATTGCCATAGTGCTTCGCTGCGCCTTTAACACTTAACACACGTATTGTTTTGAAATTGTGTAGAACGCAGGTAAAGTATCGACTTTCTGTTGGAAATTCTATTTACAATCGCATACTTCGAGTCTACGTACCACGACCATTCTTCAAAAGTGTATTAATTCAATATAGTCATTTTTGATATTGCGCCCAAAAAATATTCACAAATTCCATTATCATATGATTAAAGTGTTTTCTTTAATTTTTCTTTGAATTTTCTTGTAAACGGAATGTTTGCCAAAACGATAAATTGTTTCCCTCATATACTTATCACAACTAAAATTTGTATATTTCTTTCAATCCTTATTACCTATCTTTTATGTATTTCTCTTTCCTTCCAGAGTGATTAAAAAATTTTAACCACAAATTCATTTTAAACGCTGTATTTTATTTAAAAAAAAATTAACTAATTTGATGCTGTAGCAGTTATTTTTAAGTTCTAATATTATTTTACCGACTTTCGCACCAACCGGAGTTTGTATGAAAGTGAGTTAGGGCTTTTCTATATCTAATATGATAAGGATTTATAAAAATGAACGTCTCTATTAGAGGCACACTTCCAGGCGAGTAAAATTAATTCAAAATTATTTGTTATCGTACGTCGAGTGACCTGGTGCCTAAGGAATAATCTCCGCAAATTTTATTGCGAGTAGTTTTCATGATTATATATTTAATTCAAAATATGGGATCAAACAACCATTCATTTTCAAATTGCTGCTTTAACGCACCTATCATATTTTTTATTCGTTTTTAAAGTTAAGTGCTTTAAATATGTATTACTTTTGGTAAATATATTTATAATTTTTATCCAACAAAGGCCTCACCTGCAACTTGAGCAATTTCTTTCCGGTAGCATTTTTAAGTGTCTTGTGGAACTGTGAGACCTTATTACTATGCTGGCTGGTTATAGTGGGTACAGTGATATCTTTCAAATCACCATAATAATTTGCACAGTTACGGTGCTGTAACGAGAAAACAAAAAAATATTCTGAACTGATAACGATTAACCTGACATTATGAATATTAGCAAGTTTGTATTTAAATATATTAAGTGGCTTAGCATCACTTTTTTATCACATTTTTTATCTTCACAAATCTGATATGGTGACTTGAAATATATCATAAAATATTGCGCCTCATCATAGAAAATCGAGCTTAAAAGCCCGATTTTCATAAAAAGTTCTTGAGCTGTAGTTTACTTCATTAATGAAAATTCTTAGCTTTATCTTTAGCTCACTTTTTATGTATTATTGTAACTTCTTTAAATGGATCCTTAAGACAAAACAAAGACGAAGTGATTTTAGAAGTTGTTTTTAAGTGGAAGAATAGTAGAATCTTCACGCAAAAATTTTAAATTTTAATTAAACTTATATTGAAATTACTGTGTAAGTTACGAATACTTCAAATGTACGTAATACTTCACATAGCCGCACTAGATTTAAATTTTCTTTTAATTGCCCATAGATAACTATGTACATGTCCACATGTATGTAAAATATTTTCCAACTTACTTCACCATCTATATCAGAGCGCATAGCTTCAGAAATTTGATTGTTGTCCAATGGATTTTCTTGCAAACGAGTCCACATTTTGTGTGCAGCCAGACGTTTAGCGATCTTCTTACTTTTACCTTTTCCTACTTCACGATAATTAAGGATTGAACAAGCGATGGTAAATAGCCGTTCATGCGGCAAACCAACCTCTGTTTCGGTCTCGTAAGTTGGTGGTGGCCAACGACGGGACATGCACATCTCCTGCAACCAGCCAATCGGATTTCCAACAATTTTATCGGCGCCACTATGATAATGTATAAGTTGTTAGTATAATGTAAAGTTGTTAGTGTTTTTTTTTCGGTAACCTATTTTATTATTTCTACGAACTTTTAAATGGTATTATACTTACTCGCCACTTCCAACTGCATTTGCGTTTCCATCGCCTCCAACATTTGTAGCTGTAATGCCGCTTGAGGATGTGCTAACGCCGGCACTGCCGCCAACCTGTGCTGTATCAGGCAATTGTACACCGGTCAGTTTATCAATTAGTGCACGTGCAGCTGAATGTTTAGCCTCTTTTTTGGAGCGTCCAGCGCCCATGGCTGTGAAGGGTATATCCTTATCATTGAACGCCACGCGATAACGAAATGTTGGCTCATGTATGGCGCCCTCGATTTGCACCAATTCATAATTGGGTGTTATTCCACGACGGCTTAAGAGTTCTTGTAGAATAGAAACCGGGGTCTTCATAGCTAGCCCATTACTATCGGTCTGAAAACGGAAATATTTCGTATGTATTGATTAGCATTTATTCTATTTAACGCAAGTCTTAGTAGACGCTAAATATTAATTGAAGAGATTAGCTGTGAATAAATGTTTATGTTAATAACTCTTATGTTATTAGGGGAACTTCGGGTATTGTGGTATAGGAGCGTAATGTGGTATAGTCGCTATCTTCAATTCTGCCCAGTCAAAACATCTGATATTACCTTAACATGTGATGACTTAAAAAAAAACCGACTTATAATACAGATATGAAGTAAAAGCAGTTGGTTTTCCTTAAGTCGCACAAAACATATGTTCCAAAAATTTTGATTTTTTTTAACTGCAAGAAATCAACGTTATTTTTTTAAAATAAATTGATTTAGAAAGAAAAAACTGTTAATATTGCAAAAGTAAGTTTCGTATTTTGTTTATCAAGTCTCGGATCATAGAAAATTTATGTTTGGTAGATTTTGTACGAGTTTGTTTGGACATTTTGAAAATCGGCCATTGTGGTACACAATGTTAAGGTATTACAATACCACATTACCATCCATACGTAAATTTTTAATTACTTGAACACCACTTTTATTCTCGATGCCAAAAATAGAGGAATCCAAAAGTGGACCCAAGACAACATGATATAAGCGATAACAGCTGCCTTATCGCAATGTGGGACAGTATACCGCATTATCCGAACCATATAAACCACATTATCCGAACCATATATATTTTTATTTTTTTTTTTCAATATTTATTATTCGAGAACAGTGAAACTTTAGTCATAAAATATTTTTAAATGAAATACATATATTCAAAAATAACAGATATTGAAAAAAAAATTTATGTATATATATATGGTTCGGATAATGTGGTTTATATGGTTCGGATAATGTAGTTTATATGGTTCGGATAATGCGGTATACTGTCCCACATTGCGATAACCCAGCGGGTTAAATGTAGAATACCTACAACTCCCAAATTAAATAAATTTATATTAGGATCGATAGGGCTCTTAGTCCTTATCATATTGGTATAATTTTTTTGCGCGAGAAATAATAATTACTGGTGTTATTGAAGTTCAAAGTACGTAGAAGCTGGAAACAACTGCACTACTTAAAACTTAATTTTTTATTATTTTTTTGAATTGCAGCGGACTCTTACCAATTTTATAGATTCCTCAATTGCTAACTTGCTTGTCGCATCAGTTAAGTCAGTAATCTTATCTTTCTTTGATTTAATGGGACGCGGCGGCATCTCTACTTGCGGTACCTGCTGCATGTGGCCATTGGTTATGTTGTCTAAAGTAGTTAGCACCGCTGGTCCGAGACCATCATACTGACGTCGAGGTGCAAACCCGGCCTGCTGCTGCGGTTGATGCTCATGCCCTTGGATATTTTCCATTTTACAACGCTTTTTCTTTTATTTATACTGCCCTTTTGCTTTAAGTTTTTTATATTTGAAATGCCTAGAAAAAATGAAAAATTGGTCACACATACACACACATACATAGTAAAGATCAAGAAAAATCGATATTCCGACCATCAGCTAGAAAAAAGGCAGCGTAAAATATATCTTTCCGATCAACTTAACGTACAGTTACAGTTATTTGAAAAAAGAATACGATTACCTATGCGTAGTGATTTGCACTGATTTTTATTTAAAAATAAATTATAATTTGCATTAAATTTATCTTCAAATAAAGAGCAGCAAAATCCTTCCCCACGAAACGCAGAGAAAAAGCGAATTTGAAGCCAAGAAAAAAGTTTCGATATGTAGATGTAATCGCAACATTCTTGACAATCGAAATAATGAACAAAGTGTTAAGCACTCTATACACATAGTGTTATATCGTTCAATCATTCAACAACTTTCAATCGAGAGGGAACATACAGCCCTATTCTGCATTTCGAATAAGTTCCCACATTCCGCTCCGAAACAATCGTACTTTGGTATTCTGCGAGAATGATAGAATACAAGATTGCGCCGTCCTGGCGGCGGTGACATTTGTGTACCACAAGTAAACAAAGCCGAATTGGATGTTAAAGGAGAATGTGAAAGGCCGTTCGACCCAGGCCATTTAGCGTTCAACTCACGCAGGGATGCACGAAAAAAATGGAATAGCTAAAAATATCAATATCCAAAAAAATATCAAAATATTCGCCATAAAAAGGCGTTTGCATTGTTCAACTTTGCATTCTACTTTTGGTTGAACGGATTTTCAACTAATCGCTTTCAACAAAGTTAGTCGCCAGTCCACATTTAGCCATTCAACTTTTTTTTTCGTGCAACCCTGCGTGAGTTGAACGCAAAATCGCCACTTGCAAACACCTTTTGAGAAGAACAAATTTTTTTAAAATTAAATTTTCGACAGTAAACGTATTTTAATAGTGGTAAATTGTAAAAATATTTAATTAAAATAGGAATTAATTAGGAAAATGTGAAAAAATTGTGATATTTGTGTAAATATTAGTGAATTTCAATGCATTTAAGGTGTCTGGGGCGTCGTCTACTTATAGAGCAGAATTGCCAAATTCGAAAAAAAGCAGATTAGTAGTATGTCTGACTGCACCAGCTTTGTTCGCTGCATCGTGGGTATTCTGAGTTACGATCCATACTTCAACAATTTACAGGTTGTAGTAATTGTACAAAAACAACATTTACCGTTGGTATGAACTCGTAGTGTTAAAAACAGTTTGTTTATATATTCTATGCATACCCTGCGTACCATGAATTCAAAGTATTACAAAACTTGTTTATGATTTTTTTTTAAGAAATTGTACAGAAATTTCTTTATACCATGTTCTGACCGACATCGAAAACATGTTTTCGTTGCTAAAACTTTTTTTCGACCTAAAATTTGTGTTTTCGTCCATTTAAAATCTGTCAAACAAAAACCAGTTTTCGTTGAAAACTACTTGAAAACTTACGTTCAACTCATTCCAATCGGTGTCTTAACTAGTTTTTTTCGATTATTTATCGAAGTGGAAGTCATATTTTGTCATCTTTAAAACGTCATTTTGGATTAATTGTTAAGTAGACGGCCAAAGTAAAATAAGAATGAAAGTAAAAGGTTGTTAATTAAAAGAAAATGAAGGAAAAGTATTTTGGTTTTGTTTTTGTGTAGCAAACTGTAATCAAAGGATTTAAGAAATGTCAACGAAAACACTAACAACCGGTTTGATAGCCTTCAGCTCACAATCCGTTTTAAAGTGTTTTCGTTGTCGGTCAGAACATGGTATTACTACTTCTTGTCAACCACTTCATATCGTCCCGTTTCTGCTTTAACCACGTATCTACAATTTTTGGGAAAACTATTATTACCACTTATAACAGCTGTATAAGCGTCACACTATTTGAAAATAGAACAAAGACTTAATGAGGTTGCTCACTACTATTAGTGGAACCAGAAATATTAAGTATAAAATGCGTTTATTGTATCCTAGGGGAAGAAATTAAGCATTTTTTCTTACACTCTCTAAAATACCTCTATTGCAGATACGAGGTTGAGGCAGAAACGGAACGATATATTTTTCTTTAAAGATTCGTAAAAAAATCGGAACAAATTTCCGGTACTCTTTTTTTTTTTGTAGTCTAGATTCTAGGCCGGGACACTTAAGACCCGTCCACATGGAACTTTGGCGTTGCGTTGGCGTTGGCGTCGCTTCAACAGCTGACTATGAATACATGAATTCAAATGCAGCCGTCCACATAGCCAAAACTCGACAACGCTCACGCCAACACAAAGCAAAAAGATGGCCAACTCTCAACTTTTCGCGTGCGTCACTCGTCAGCGGTTGCAAATAAATAGAATTATGTGAAATATTTTTCCTTTTTAATCAAGTGCGGGCAAGAAATATCGGCCCGTAGTCATAGTCAAAATAAAGTCGACTTTAAAGTTAGTTGCAGCTTTTTGACATAATTTTCAATGGGATATCTGTCATAAAAGCTGCAACTAACTTTAAAGTCGACTTTATTTTGACTATGACTACGGGCCATCGTTTTTAATGCAATTATTGATATGAAATATTAATTTATCTGTCGTTAGTATGTTAATTTAGTGGCCTAAGTATTCGCTTTCAAGCGTTCATTGTAGCAAGCATACTTTTAACGTGCGTTTTGTCAAACCAACGCCAACGCCAAAGCCAACGAAAGTTCTATGTGGACGGGCCTTAAGATCCACACAAAATCGCGGTTGTTCCTCTTAAAAGGTTGTTTCGACGGTATAAAGCGAAGGCCAGCTCAGTGGGTCCAAAACACTAGGCTGATCCAATAGTGTGTTCGAAATTTGTTAGACGGTATTTTTTGTCAAATGCTTAAATGTGCGTAGGCTTTGTCTTTTCCATAGACTTTGCTGCATGATGTTACGCAAGATTTGTAACGAAAGGCTTGTAGCCAGTTGCAATTAGCGCATCAGTAGTCGTTGCGATCCGGAATTAAAAATCGAGTGGCCAAGTAGCTTGAGGCTTATACGTATTGACGTATATTTTAAAATCGTAGATTATCCGGTTTTGAGCGAAATGGGTTCGGTTTGGAATGTTACAAATACAGAGTTGTACATAAATACAAAAGGGGGTTTGTAATTAGAAATTAACGTTGGCTTTTTGTAAAAATTTGGAAAGTTGTGTAACCTTGGCAGTGTTGTTTCCATTGAAAATCTCTGCAAAAGTTTTGTGGTCTGTGTTATGAGTCTCCTGCAGTGAAAAGTCTGGTGTACGTAACCACCAGCTTGTCCACAGAAACACTGATTTGTACTTAAAACACGAATTTTACATAGATATGTTCTGTCATAAGTATGACCGGTTAAAATCCTGTTCAGCCGTTTGACCTCAGCAGGGGACAGTAACAGTTTCCTGAACCATGTCTGTTTATTCCTATTGCCCAAAGTAGGAGCAAAAAGATTCCGTGATCCCGTGAGTATTCCAAAAAGGAGTTATACCAAACAGGCCCGCAGAGAGCCGAGCCGGGCCCCTGGGACAGTTCGCGTTTGCGGGCCCCCCTAAAAAATAAACTCAATCTAGTAAAAAAATAACATACAAAAATTTTTCAATTCACATTGTCAGTTTTATTTCATATAAAATAAGATTTACTAGAGCACTTACATACATATCGACGTGCCATACGAAAACTAACACTTTTTAAATTTTTTACGAAAACTAACACTTTTAAAATTCTGTAAGAAAACTAACACTTTTATTTTGTGTCTGACGAAAAATAACACTTTCAATTTGTGTCTGACGAAAACTAACACTTTTATTTTGTGTCTGACGAACACTAACACTTTTAGCTAGTACATTTTCTTCAGAGAAAAAAATGAAAGGGTTACTTTTCGTCAGATACAAAATAAAAGTATTGGTTTTCGTCAGACACAGATTGAAAGTGTTAGTTTTCGTCAGACACAAAATAAAAGTGTTAGTTTTCTTCAGACACAAAATTTTTGGTGTTAGTTTTCGTATGGCACGTCGATATGTAAATGAAATGTTAGATCTCATTGTTTGATTTGCTTACATTAACCTTTTTAAATACATTTTAAGAGCTTGAATCATCCAAGGAAAACCTTCCGTGCTTTTTGGTCTGCGAATATGAAAAGTACTGAGTCAAAACTAATGCTGCGAGCAAGGCTGGACTCCAATGCCAATGTTCCAAGGCTTGTCAAGCGATTTTGGCTCATAGTAGAACGCAAAAAATTTTTCACGCGAGACAATAGACTGAAAGAACGCTCCCCTTCAGCCACACTGACTGGAAGTGTGCAAAATATTCTTAATGCTATGCAGATGTTAGGAAATAATACTTCCATCTTCAAGTCATGAAGTTTGTTCAGAAGTTGAAATGGTGGCAGCGAATCACATCCCAAATTTGCTAAGTGGATGGCTTTGAGATGAATGATTTCATCTATTAGATCCGTAGAAATATCGATGCCATAAATCGTGCAGAATGCCGTTGCCTTTTCTCTGAGCTCTTCTTCCGACAGATCCTGATACTTCCACAAAAAACTAAATTTAATCGCAATGTCATTTACGGCTTCAAAACGTCTTCTCATGTTACCTATCAAGCAGTCCAAAACAACGTAAAAAACTTGCTGTTTGAATTGAGTTTCGGAATCACACTCAGGTGGTTCGCCAGGTAATTCATCGAACTGGCGCTTTCTTATCTTCCTTCTTTTCTCTGCGAAGGTATCCACAACTCCTATACTCCCTGCCAGAACCTTACATTCTTGAAGTATGATCGACCATTGATCCCTGAACTTCTTCAACTCATCAATCAGGCTACGTATATTTTCTGTTTCCACGTCCAGTGTGGCATTTCTAGCTTGAAGTACCATATTTCGATGGTTGATTACGGTCAACACTTTGAGCCAAATGGAGGCTAAGAGGATACACTCAAATTTCCCCATATATGCTTCAATACCTTTCAAATCCGTAACTGTTTCTGAACTCAGATTCAAAAGCTTGATTTCGTCAATAGCTTTCAATATTTGGGGAATGTGAGTTGCGAAAGGTTTCACACTATCCACACGAGCAGACCATCGTGTTTGTGACATGCTGTGCAAAGAGCAGTTAGTTTTTTCCTTGAGAATTTCCCATCTCTGAGGGCTTGCGCTAAAGATATTATACAATTTCTGCATAATACCGAAAAATGTGGTGACTTCTGCGCAACATTCAGCAGCTTGCACTCCACATAAATTTAAACTATGACAAGCACAAGGTGCAAATATGGCCAGGGAGTTATCCCTCAGGATATGACTCTGCGCTCCTTTGTAATGACCGCTCATATTACT